TTCTATTTACAAATGCAAATCGCATCTGGGGAAGATGGGAAATAACACGTAAGGGGATTAGGTACGTGTTATTTCCCATGCTTTATTATAGTAAGATAGGTATGCCTTTTAAATCTGTACCGGTTATTAACGATCCTCGAGATCGTTTATAATATTGTATTGCTGTCTGTCCGTGTGCACGATAACTTTGTATAGAAACGTCCGATCGCTTTGAAAATTGACACACATGTTCTTAAGGATATAAGAAAGGTCGTTATTGTTTTTCGGCTACGTAGACTAAGGAGCCAAAAAGTTACAACCCAAAAACTGCCCAAACCTCCAAAAAACGGTTTCTTACAAAGGTTACAAAGAACATATGAATGTCCGCTTTTCTGTGTTAGTAAATACTCCTTAAACCTCAGGGAACTATGCAGATGAATAAATAAAATTGCGCATGCGCAATCCAACTTTTGTATTTGTGCAATCACAATTTTTTTATTTGTTAAGACATTTAAATAAAATTTTGTATATAGGCACCTCGAATAAAAGTAAAACTAATGCCGAATAAAAAAATTTGTTTTTCACCTGCGCAATTTCAAATTTTTTAATATTTAAATGAAATTTTGTATATACCTACGGACCTCGAATAAAAGTAAAACTAATGCCGATTCAAATATTTGTTTTACAATCTATACCGATCTGGTGGGACAGAATCAATCCCTTAACCTTTTCAATCATCATCTGCCATAAGAAAATTGGTCACCTTCCGCCGGTGACACCGAAATCGCTTTGGGACTTACACAATCATCATCATTCATCAGGGGACCTTCTCGCACACATTCCCGAAAAAATTAGAACTACACGAATTATTTTTTGCCGTTTTTTTGCGATAATTACTGCACTATATTCACCTTCCAGAGCTATATTCTGTTCCCAATGCTCCTCCAACACTTCTATACCTTTCTTAAAGAATGTTTTCTTTTTGCCTCCAAAATGGTCGTTTGTAGCGGCGATTAGTTCACCAACGGAGCCATATAGGTATTTTTCCCTGGAGCATTCTTGTGAGATCTGAAAAAAGCCAGTAGTTTAATACTGAATATGGTGGGCGCGGAAGCAATTCGAACTTCAATTCGGCAACATGTTTTTCCTTGTTTTCCACGATTGGTGACCTGGTGCATTGTCTTGATGAAAAATGATTTTTTTTGGCCATTTGAGCTGCATTTTCCTGCTTTAATCGATCCAATTCGGCTCGGCAATATAGTTTATTTATTTATTATGATTACAATGTATAATACTCTAGGATCTTACTTGACAATTTAATTCATTAGGAGGTGGATATATTTTTGGCGGAAAGGAAGCTTTATGCTTTATAACGAATGGGGCGTCGCTCCGGACCCGTATTTCGGTGAACGCACGGAACGTCGATTGAATATTTTGCAAAATGTAAAAACTACGTAGTTCAGAATATGTTAACAAAGTGCTACGTGCAGCATCCAGGTGTACATTATATTATTGATGTGACGCATATTTACCTATACCTGATGTCGCAACACTCCATTTTTAACTTTTTTGTGTTTTTACAAAAGTTTACATTTTAACCCGCTAACAACAAGGAGCAGTATCGCTAATTATTAATGTCAAACTGTTTTGATATTTACACCTACATCCTAGTTTTCGTAAACAACTTTGGCAATCGTATTGTTCGTAACGTAAACAAAAATATTCCGATCAATAAAAATTTGGGATATAGTTAACGTGTGATTCACGATTTACTATATACACATTCACGTTAATCTTCGCCGCAGCCTTGACCACCGCCAAAGAGCATCGTCTTAGCGGTCAACAGCCGCGGTAGCCTTCGTCTCCTTGCCTATAAAACGTCCACAAAGCTAATGAAGATCAAAGTTATAGATCAACGTTTGTGCGCGAAAAGTGCATTGAAGGTACGTACGCTTTGGTATTTACTTTATCGTATACCTTCCAGTTAAAAACTTTCTTGCAGATGTTGGCTCTCGTACTAGTTGCGTCGCTTTTGGCCAGTGCCCAATGCATTCCACTGGATGCGCCCGAAAAAAACGAGTCGCCCCTACAAGCCGAACAACCGAAAGGGGAAGAGACGAAGCTGCCTGAAAAGGCTCCCGAAGATCTCAAAGTGCCAGAGATCAGCCCCAACCCCGTGCCCGAAAGCGGACCTGCGCTTCCGGAAGACATAGGCCCTTTATCTGACGACAACCCCGCAGTTGGACAACCCGATAAATCCGATTTAGACACAGATTCCACGTTTTGGGGATGGGGCTACAGGAGACCGTATTATAGTGGATGGAGAAGTTATTACAGTAGCCCGTGGAGACGTTGGGGCTATGGAAATTACGGGTATGGCCGAGGATTTGGAGGTTGGGGTTGGGGACGAGGCTGGGGATGGCGCGGCGGGTACTGGTAAATACCTAATTGAAATGCAAGGACTTTAGTTTTATAAGTTTCATTCTAAACAACTCATCAGCTGCATTACTGACGAGCTTTACACCGCGGTTTGTTTATAATTCGGGATCGAATTTTTTATAGTGGCCAGTTCAAATTATTGTATCTTGATTCGAGTTTGATCGATGTAAGTTTCACTAATTATATAAATTTCAAAAATAAACGAAACGAAAAAATAAATGAATTTTGTGATTTTTAGTAACCCCATCTTATGCTAGTGCGTGATATAGGTACGGAATACTAATGGTAAGGATTTTTTACCAGTTTGCAAAAAAATTAACAATTTGCAATGGAAACGAACGAGCATTCAACTTATGGTAAAAATACGCTATTTTAAGGTCGCAGTTTTTTCACACAAGTCATTCATCTTTTTGGCAATTAACATTAACTCATTCGTTTATGGTCATTTAAAAAGCTATTGTATATAATATGCTACAACTAATTATTTCTGTAGGTAGCTAATTGCCTGTTAGCGTGATTGAGGTTTTTCATTATAAGATCATCAAATTCCACATATTCGCTAAGATCAAACGAAAGAAGCTGTTAAATGAAGTTAAATTAAGACAAAATTCAACCTAGGTATAAGGCATTTAATGCAATGCAAATGCAAATAATGTAGGTAAGTAGCTAGTTTTCTTTGAAGATCGTTAACATGGTAATCTGTTTTCCCCACAAAACAGGAAGAAATGATGGTTTTCCCCACCTACTTACAAGCAAAACAAAAGAAGCACAAAATTTAAGTACCTACCTACTATACTTACAGGATAAACCGAGGGATAAACCAAAGTTAAACCATCAAACTGCTATAGATCTGGTACAAGAGTTCAAAATATACTTTTTTATGGACATTGTTATGACAACATTTTTTTAATTATTTAAATAACTAACTAATGTACTTTCAGAACAAAAATTAAAAAAAAGCAAGTACTCGCTTTCAAACGCACACTATCCACAAAACGTATAGTCGTAGTTAGTCAAGAGTAGCTGTGAAACTTGTGAAACAAGAAACGATCACTAGAGAGCATTATTAAAAGTTACAGTCCATTGGAATGATTTTTTTCGAGTTGTACCTAATTCATTTTACCCCAAAAAGGAATTAGTAAATCTTGGTCAGTGACCATTGTGCGACTAAACATGCCAATTGCCAACTCAAAATTTGGATTCATTCAAAGGAACATCATTACGTAAATGAAATATAAATTCCTAACGAATGAAAAAATAACCAAATCCCTCTGTATGAATCGAACAATAATAATTAAAATTACAAATGTGGTTCAGGCAATGAATTCTCCACAGTTCAGTTACTTTAAGGATATTATCCACTTTCGCTTGAACTCTACGGATACATCACGACCCTGTCCTCTGTTTTCCTTTGAACTGAACGCCGGATACATCGCTTCCCTACCCTCCGCTTTCCCTGGGCCCCATCTACCGATACATCAGGTTCTTGCCCTCCACGACGAATACATCGCGCCCCTATCCTCCAGTTTCCATTGGCCCCACCAACGGCTACATCGCGTCCCTAGCCTCCACTCCACAAAAATTCGACAATGAATCCAATTAGCAAAATCATGTTAAGCCATGGAAATTTTCTAAAGAATTGAAATAGGTTTTCACACAGATGGAATGGGACGCTCATTAAAAGGCACGGAAAACAAATATTGCATACCTACTAGAGTAAATATATTTCCGCCGTAAACGTTCTTTATTATAAATATGTACTTTTTCCTCAGTGAACCTCATTTTACAAAAAAATTAACGCCAGTTGTCATAAACTGATATTGATTTCGACGTTTGAATCTGCTAATGATTTTGGTAAGTGGATTTATTGCCGAATTTTTGATAAAATTGTGAGAAATACTCCTGAAAATGAACTAATTCGTATTTCGTATATCATTAGATAAGGAAAAAATCTTCTTTCGATTGGCGTCATTATCTCTAAGTTAACATGGCTAGCAATGAGCAAAAAACCTTTTTCCTATGTTAATTCCGTATGTTTGGTTTTAAAATATTCACCAGGTATATTGTGGCCTATTTTGTAAATAGGTACGATGTAAATAAATACAATGTGACCCCAATGATAAAATTATAGTTTAGGTAACGTTAATACCTATTAAATCGAAAGTTTTGCTGTTATTTATTATTCTAGTTTCTTCTGTTGTTAAACTTTCCGGAAATTGTTCACTGTTACATTAATTTTCTAGTCCACGTTAATTTAAACTTTTGGCCTGCTCATTTTTGTTTTTGCAACCCAACAAGAGACTAAACTTTTTGATGATTAAAATTGGTTTCATTTCAGCTTCCTTGAAATTTAATTGTGACTCCTTTGTCTGGTATGGAAAAAATACTGTTTTTTTGTATGAGTTGTAATTCCAGAGTAGATCCCATGACGATATCTCCCATGCGGTACAACTGAATACCGAACGATCTTCGAGATCTTTACGCATCTATAAGCGATCGGACATTCCTAAACAAAGTTAACATGCACACTGACAGACAGCAATACAAAATTATACGATCTCGGGAATAGTTAATAATTGATGGTCAGTTCATCTCTGTATTGAACTAAAAAGATTTAACAATACAATAAATTCAGTCAACTTTACAAAAGAACTAACTTAAATACTAAGAATGGACATAATAGTTATATACACATATCGATAACAATCAGACTTATTGGACCTCCCCGCTTCCAATGATGAATTAAGAGTACTGATTTTGGAAAACCAATCTGCTGCCAAAAATGCTCTCCGAATTCGATTGTCGCAATCGCTGCTTATGCCTGAACAGCGGTCTGAAAACAATGTCTTCCGCAGTTTCTAAATCGGCGGGGGTTCCAATGACACCTTTTTTGTTATCATTGTTAGACCTTCTGACCCGACCCTTAACGCCATCTCTGTCCTTTGCACCGAAAAGTGGAACATAAACAATTCCGGTTTCCTCCGGTGTCATCGGATCCTCTTTTTGTTCATCAAGCGTCGAACCTGCTCCAAGCGGTTCCGATTTCACATGCAAAAGCGGATTGAGCCCTAAACCGCTTTCATCGTTGTTTGGTTGTGATCTCTTCGAAACATAAAAGTATTCTTCGGATGATTTGTCTCGAGCTGGGCTGTAGCGTGAATAGTATCGCTCCTGAGGTGATCGGCGATTAATTTTTTCACTTCCAGGCAATTCAATCTTAACATCTCGAGTTATCTCTGGTCTGGCGGCTATTGATTCTAACACCGCTAAAGCAATCATAACCGATAACCTCATCTGTAATCAGAATGAACTGTTATTGAACTTACATCATGGAAAAATATCAACTTACCATGTGGTGTTGAATAATTTGTACAATCTTTTCTCTAGTAAGTTTGGATTCGTTATGAGACCATGCGTGCAGAATCTAGATTATATACTTACTTAGTTAATAACGTCTAATTTTTATTTGACGTGAATCTCAAGGTGTTAATCACTTGTGCCTTTTTGAGTAGTGTTTATACGGTTGAAGGTTTGAGCTATTATCTCCAAATAGTCGCGTATTTTGTTATAAATAAATACACATGTGATAATTGTTTAAACTGGCGCTGACATGGGGCTATGAATCAGTCGACTGCGTTTGTTAATATAGGAAACGTTACCTTTGTATTTATCAAGACCCTCATACCGCAAATTTACGGAAGTTTACGTTTTGTTTGGACAATTATTGGTATTTCACACTCTTGTTCAAAGATATAGGTATTTCGCTAATCAAAGTCATGAACAATTCGTAAATGGCATGTTAATAGTATACACGACCTTGCTTTATAAATAACAACCTTGCATCTGACTAGTGCCAATTTCTTAAAATGGTGTCCATTATTTCCTGTTTTGTATCTATAATTATCTGTATCTAGTTGTTTCTGGTAAACAACATAAAAATGCAATGACGCCAAAAAATGGTACCTACGGAAAAATTTCTATGCTGAACAAATCACGTAGTCGTACAATCCTCGTATTACTCACTTTATAAAGGCCAAAGTTAAGTAAGGATAATAAGGGTCTGGGAGACAATCGTACTAAATTACATTATTGTTAAACTAAGGAGTAAGGACAGTCCATTTTATTAATAATTATTCTGGGAAATTATTATATCTATTTGGGATATTTCGACTGTAAAATCTTTGCTCAAGGTACTCTTCTAGTATAATTGGTGCAATAAAAGATTTTCCACATTTTTATTGATACGAGTGTACCTACATACTACCTACTGCAAAATCATCTAAAAAATATATCGGAAAATCCTAAAATCTACGTAATGATTGAATAACAGCCTGCAATGAATCTTCGATTCCCAAGAGATGTTCAAATGACGAGACAAATCGAGTGGTTTGATATCCGAAGAGTGTAATGAATACAATTACTAAGCCTACTTGATTCAAATGTACAAGTAATTAATTTTACTGATATTCTTTGTTCAATAGTAGGTTAGGTCGGTAAAAAAGAACAAACAATCTACTTTAAATAATGCAAAAATCCAATATGGCACCAATTTAACAAAAGAAAGTTAATATTTACATCAGTATCCGCCACCCTGAATTAATTTTAACCCCAATTACGATTATCAAAAAATATTTAACTTCAAACAGCACACAAAACTGCAGAACATTGCCTATTTAATCTAGGTAATCTCTATAGTTTCAGTCTTTCAGTAATAACTAAAGCTACACCAATCTCGCTCGGACGGGGGTCACTGTGTACTATACGTTTTTAATACTATGCCCCAAGAAATGGAAGAGATCCATGTGCATTCCTAAATAATTAGTATAGTTCAGAAAATGCTCAGGTAACATTTTCTTAGGTTACGCAGCTGGAGCAGTGAAGTGATGTGAACATCAAAGTAATAAATGCATCACGCTAGGTCAGCAATTTCTTTTGGAACCCCTAATCACCACTCAAAATTTGCACGCTATCACACTTGCTCTGTTTATTTATCAAGTAGACCTATAATCAGAACTACTCCATACTACGAGAGGCAATTTTGAACAAGAGTCAATCTCAAAGGTTCGACTGTATCACCCCAAAAACGAACCAGTTTATATTTTTTCGCAATTTTTCTAATCTAATATCCTTCAAAGGGCCCGACCTATGGAAATTTATTGCCACGGACAGATTTCTATAACATTTTGTTATTATAAGGATCCATACAAAGGAATTTGGTTATTTTTTGATTAGTTGACAGGTAGGTAAGAGGTCTGTGTTGTGTACCTTTACGACAACTCGCGGTTTCGAATTTTACAATTCTGTTTTGAGTAATAGGTAAACAATGGTCAAGGGACTAACTGATTTAATTTTGAACTTTTTGTCCGTCCGTCTGTGTTTGTAGCTGGTTGTCTATATTGGTTTGAAGCGGTTTATTAAAAATGATTTCTATACAGGGTGGCCATTTGAAAACGAAACAGAGCCTATTTTGGGAACCTCAAAACATTTACGAAAAAATCCTCGGACCCGTCAATTTTTGATTCAAGGGGGAACCATTTTTTGCTAGTTTCGCCCCCCTAAGGGCAAAGCGCTAGCGGGGGTGACAACCGCCTCCAAAATTTTAAATGAATGGGGGGTCGAGTGATACCTTATTTTGAAGGTATTTTTATGTGGATTATAACCCTTAACTTTAAAATCGCTACTAATTTGCCTAGCCGATACAGGGGCTAATAAAAGTTATAAAAACGTGTCAACATTTTCTTATGAAAAAAAATGTAAATGAATTAGTTAAATTTTGGTTATTGTTGAGAGCGTTATTATAGCAACATTTTGAAGTTTAATAGTGATTGTCAATTGTTGTTGTCAAATCATAGTAGTGACAAATAGCACTTTAAACTTATTTAGTTGCAAAATCGGTACATTGAACAATGATACTGGTTTATCCACTTCCTGAATGAGTTGAAATAAATGCTCCTTTTTCTATTGGGCTGATTCAAATCCCAGAATATTTCGTGTGGTGCATACACAACATCCCGAAAAATTGAATGTTTGGGCTGGCATTTTTGATAATCATATCCTAGGCCCCTTCTATTTACCTCGCAATCTAACAGGAGAGATGTACCTGGAGTTATTAGAAAATACGATTCATCCAGCATTAGTGGAGATACTAGAAAATAACAACGAGTACTTGGAAAATCGTCTAGTATTTCAGCAAGATGGTGCGCCACCCTACTATATGCTGCAGGGGTTAATCAATATTTGGACCAAACGTTTCCAGGACAATGGATTGGAAGAAGAGGAGCTATTGAATGGCCTCCCCGTTCCCAGGACTTAAGTCCGTTAGATTTTTTTTATGGGGGCATTTAAAAACTAGAATGTATGCTAGTCAGCCAGCATCGTTAGACAACTTGCGACAAAGAATAATTGATGAATGTCGTCAAATCACCCCAGGAGTTTTGCAAAAAGTACGGGAAAGGTTTGAACAAAACCTGTATTATTGTATGGAAGTCGAAGGCCAACATTTTCAACATTTACTTGATTGAGTTTAGCTGTAAGCACTTAAAATAAAATTGATTTAAATCTTAAGAGTTATAATCTACATAAAATACCTTCAAAATAAGGTATCACTCGACCCCCCATTCGATTTAAAATTTTGGGGGCACTTGTCACCCCCGTTATAGCTTTGCCCCCAGGGGGGCGAAACTAGCAAAAAAATGGTTCCCCCTTGGATAAAAAATTGACGGGTCCCAGGATTTTTTCGTAAATGTTTTGAGGTCCCCAAAATAGGCTCTGTTTCGTTTTCAAATGGCCACCCTGTATAAATCATTGATCTTTTTGGCCATTAATGGATCAATGGTGAGAAACTGCATTTTGTAATATGCAGAAGCACCTTAGGTACGTTATTAAAATGTGTCAATTTGTCACGGTTTCCAAATAAAAATGCTGCTTCCAGACAACGCTAATTTAGTACGTAGGCGCTCAGACGTTGTGGTAATTCTATGTATGTACACTATGCGTATAGTTAGTGCAACATTCCAGTGAATGGTCTCGTTTCAGAATCGTTGCGTATAGGTATTGCATAGAAAGTTTGATTGTAGCCAAGTGAGCTAATTTCACATTTTTAATATACCTATTGCACTTCAAAACTTCATAATCCCTAAAGTAAAGCATATGCTTTATGTTAGGGATTAATAAACTTTTGGGTAGACAGGAGTATAGATTTCACTATCTTTGTTTTTATCCATCTTTTATGGCATTGTGCAAACTGAATGAACTCACAATTACCCAATGAGGTGCAAGTTCGCGGATTAATAAAAAGGTGTAAATACATAGTTATCTGCCGGACACGTTTTCTTACTCTTCGGGACTAGCTTCGGGATTTCATCTCTCAAGAGATTAAATTGGCAATGCAATCTACAAAATAAGCAAATTAAAAGCATAAGCAAAGTAACCATCGTTTTTCTTCTATACACGGTGTCCATTTTTCGAGTGCCACTATGGGGATCTCACTTATCTTAAGAGATAGAAAGTTGGTTAAATGGGGGCAAAGTTGCCAATTTTCGTGCTGAATAAGAATCTGAAAAGAAATTTGAAATATCTTCAATAGTTTTGAAGATATCGCAAAATAACGAAACTTTCTGATTTTCGTTTTTAATTTTTTCATGATAAACTAATCGTAGTAGACATTTCTAATTAACACATTATTTGGACACTTTTTAATGGAGATTTCAAATATGGCTTCCTGTTTTTAATAACTTTCAAGATTAGGGAGAAACACGTGGCAACTTTAGTTTTTCTTATGGGCGCCATTTTGAATTTTTACATTTTGAGATTACGTTTTTTTTCTCTTTACAACGTTATATCACACATGGTGGTTCAGTATCACATTTTTCCTAAAAATACAATTTTTAATTTTTTGAGAAGAGTGCTTTGGAAAAAGAAAACGTTCTTTTGTTGTGAACAAAAGGTTGACTTATTTCATGTAGTGTCATTTAGGTTTATGCTAGTTGGATTGCGAAAATGCCTTTTTCAAGTGCAGATCAAAGAGATATGATCCAAATTTAATACACTTCTCATCGAAATGCCCACATGGCTGCTGCAACATACTTGCAGCGTTATCCAGAGCGGCAACAACCTAGTTTGAGGTATTTTTCTTTGCTGCACAACTTAGGCGATTATGGCTCTTTTAAAAGATGTAGACAGTAATATGGTGATAGACCCGATGAATAGGAGCAGGCAATTTTGCAAGCGGTAAAAATTTTACATGATTACAACTACCAATCTCATCATCATCACTTTTTAAATGATGAAAGTAGTTGTAATCATGTAAAATCCGTCTGTCTCCTCAAGAGAAGTTGCAGCCCAGCTGAATTTGCCATCCCATCAAGTTGCTTGGAGAACTCTTAAAAATGACAAATATCGGGCTTAGGCAATTCATATTTCCCAAACGCTCCATCCAGGAGATCATGGACGACGGGTAGCTTTTTGTACGTTTGCCAATCATCAGATTCAAGAAAATGCAAATTTCCTTAATGACATCATAATGGTCTGATGAGTGTAAATTTACCAAGGCAGCAATGTTTAATTGCCACAATGAACATTACTGGTCAATTGAAAATCCTCATCAATTTCAAGAACGACGACCACAACTACGTTTTAGCGTTAACGTATGGGTCGGTTTATTGGGCGATACAATAATTGGTCCTTAAGAGACTCTAAATGCTGATCGGTACCTCCATTTCCTGAGGACATTTCTAACCGATTTTATTGACAATAACGTTCCTCTTCATCGTTTGAACTCGATATGGTTCCAGCAAGATGGCGCACCGCCCCATAATGCTAGGAGGGTTGGGAAATGCTTATCGGAATTGTTTCCCAATAATGCTATTGCTAATAGTGGCGACATACGCTGGCCGGCGCGGTCACCTGACCTGTCTCCCTTGGACTATTTTTTTGTGGGGAACAATGAAAAATGAAATTTACAAAACATTGCCAGCCGACCATGATGAACTTCGTCATAGAATAGTGAGCACTATCAGGCACAAGATTAGAAGAAGAGATGTGTCAAGGGCCATAGCAAATCTTAGGAAGAGAGTGGCACTATGCTCAAAATTAGGAGGTGGGCAATTTGAACACATGTTGTGATGTATTTTGTTCTAATTTTAATTATAATTTTCTTGCAAAACGAAGGTTCAATTCTGTTCAGATGAAAATCGAATTTCTACTTCTCTGACAACGCTGCAACCAGACAGATGGATCCAACTGTCAAACTTTTATTTACAACAAAAGAACGTTTTGTTTTTCCAAAGCACTCTTCTCAAAAAATTAAAAATTGTATTTTTAGGAAAAATGTGATACTGAACCACCATGTGTGTATATCGTTGTAAAGAGAAAAAAAGAAGTAATCTCAAAATGTGAAAATTTAAAATGGCGCCCATAAGAAAAACTAAAGTTTCCACGTGTTTCTCCGTCATCTTGAAAATTATTAAAAGCAGGATGCCATATTTGAAATCTCCATTAAAAAGTGTCCGAATAATGTGTCAATTAGAAATGTCTACTACGATTAGTTTATCATAACAAAAATTAAAAACGAAAATCAGAAATTTTCGTTTTTTTGCAATATCTCCCAAACTATTGAAGATATTTCAAATTTCTTTTCAGATTCTTATCCAGCACGAAAATTGGCAACTTTGCCCCCATTTAACCAACTTTCTATCTCTTGAGATAAGTGAGATCCCCATAGTGGCACTCGAAAAATGGACACCGTGTATAAATAGTAATGTAGTTTTTGAATAGAAAAATTTGATGAACTCCCACGAAAGGCGTTGATTTATTATAATCTGTTCGCACAATGTAACCGCCATAACGCGACCGTCAAAACGAACAGGAAATTAAATTACAGCAGCCAGTAAGCCAATATAGTTTCATGTGACAAGACTGGTATCAATGGAATTAAACCAAATGTATGTATACTGTCAACTTTCACTTTTTCCCTATTGTCGATTTTAGTCCCCATTTACCAATCGATGCTGAAAGCACAAGACAAATTCGAAATCGAACAAAATTGCAGAAGTGCCTTTTACTTGGATTAATACTTGCAAGTGTCGTCATTCTAGCGTTCATTGTTCATACGGTACGAATTGAAATTGGTAAGTATGCGATGGATCGCAATAATTTATTTGTTCAGAAAATCGAGGTACCTGCGGCACACCTGAATGCATGCAGATAGCCGCGCGGGTATTGGAACATTTGGATAAAGACGTAGATCCGTGCGAAGATTTCTATCGCTTTGCGTGTGGGAAGGTGGCGAACGTAACGTCTACAGAAAACTATCCCAAGAGGCTTTTGAAGAATAAAATTTCGCAACGGTTGCAAGAGTTGTTGGAAGAACCGATTGACGAAACCGATAGTCCCATCTTTAATTACGAGAAAGACTTCTATTCGGCTTGTATTGCTGATAAAAAAGGCGCTCAGTCGCTTAAAACCTTAAAAGAGATTTTTAATGATTTAAATGGATGGCCGCTTGTTGTTGGTAGTAGCTGGGAGGAACAGAGTTTCGATTGGTTGGAGTGGGTGTCCAAATTTCGGAAATATGGACTGAGGCATGATCAAATTTTGGGATTTGATGTTATGGTCGACAGTATAAATCCCATGAAACAAATTGTGAAGGTAGCTAAAATACATACTGATACAAAACATGCAATCCCAATTGTTCCCAGCTTTATCCGCCGCCATATATGGGCATGCCGAAAGGAGTTAAAGAAGTTGCCGTAATGTTTGGTGCTAATGATGACGTTACACTTGATCGAGAAATTGGAGATATGTTGGATTTTATGAAAAAAATTCAAGAGGTCACCCAAATCCTATTCCTTTACGAAAGTAATTAATTGCATTTTCAGATCAGAGTAAAACACATAAATTATACGCACGAACCACCTACAAGAGCTCTGGCAAATGAGTTTCAGGAAAAGCACAAAGATTTAGACTGGCTACATTATATCAATTCGCTAACGGAACCGGAACATACAATCCGTCCTGATGACTACCTGGAATTTATGTACACGGACTGTGTTAAAACTGCTCTCGAGCTCGTACGAGCATCTCCAAAAAGGTAAGTTAATGGTAGATTATTACTGGTTTGTTACTAAAACCGATATATGCAGAACAGTAGCCAATTATATGTTTTGGCGTGCCGTGGATGATCTTTACTCGATAATAATATCCGAAAGCCTCGACATTTATGATATGAAAAGAACACGCGTAGATATTTGCAAAGAAATCCTCAGATATAAGTATGTCCTTATTTTCGCATTTGGATGTTCAGGCTTGCTTAGTTTTAGCCCATGGTCATCATTTGTAGCCTACGGAAAAAAATTTTTAACAAATAACTCTAGAGAACGCGCTACCGTCATCTTCAATCACGTGAAAAGGGAATTTAAGCGCTTGTTCAACATTAACAAGTGGATGACCGAAGGTGACAAACAGAAGTTTAGGTATAAATTTAATACAATGACTGAAATTGTTGGCATCACAAATGATACCATAATTCACTCTACGTACCACGACTTGTTTAAAGATAATCTGGTTAGTACTTGGTTTTTCGAATTGCATTAGTGTTAGCAATTGCCAACAGATACCTAAAGATGGATTTCTTAAAATGTACCTGAACCTCAAAACGACGCTGAATACGCTCTCGAATAATGCCAGATTCCAGCAGCACTCTCAGGACTGGCGCTACTTACAATTCTTGCTCGATACAGACACTATCTACTTTGGTACACAAAATGCGATCAGTAAGTATCATAAGTTGTAAAGCGACATGCATTGTTAGATTATTTATATCTGAATTTCTATATATGTTAATTAGTGCTACCAATTGGGGCTTTACAAGACTGGTATTACGACGAATATGGACCGATGTACGTGAATTTTGCGACAATTGGTAAAAACCTTGCAGTTACGTTTGCTAAAGTGATCACCAGCATTGACGTTGCTTTTGAAGAGAAAATACGTTGGTCAGAAGAAACCTTGAAAAACTACGAAGAAGAAACTAATTGCGTTGAGCAAAAGGAAGTCAAGAGTTTGATGGTACGTAGACATGGCAATGCAAATTCGTTTTTACGTAGATATTTTAGGTGCAATACTATGATTATAAAATACTAGAATTGGGACAAATTGTTGGGTTGAAAGTAGCCTACAACGCTTACAAAAAGTGGGTTGAGGAAAATGAAGAAGAGTTGCCGGCTAAAGGCACGGGGTACAGTACAAATCAGCTGTTTTGGATAATAGCTCTCACTGATTCGTGTTTCGAGGATGCTTATGACTTCAATTTCTTTGTACATAATGAACCAATACAAAGAAACCCAAACTTTGCTTCAGATTTTTCTTGTAGTACTAACGCTAAAATGAATCCACCTAAGAAATGCAGTTTGTTGTAAATAAAACTTATTAAATCTAAATTGTTTCAATTTGGAAATAGTCGCTTAATTATATGATAACAAAAACCTTATGATCTGATAGGCTAAGCTGGCCTGTGTAAAGGTGCGTGAACTAATTATTTTAAAATTTATGAAATCATGGGTTACAGTGCCGTGATACTTCGGTAGCCAATAAGTGGTTGACAATTTCTTTTGTTTTTATTAAATGGAAAATTGCCACCACTGTATGATAAACATTGCTAAAAATGTTATCTTTTTTATTCCCATTCGTCTTGTAAATCGTTTACGATTACTTTTTTAACTTGTTGAAATTGCTTGTAAAATTTGAGGCATTACGATCATATACCAAGCAGTATAGGTAATTTCTAGCAAAGATCATGAAAAATATATTATAAGTTGAAGTATGACCATTTGCATCTTTAACGTTTAATGAAAACCCAAACTTGTGACAAGAAAATTATACAAAAAGTAAATTCAAGCGGTAAATCACTTCAGACTTGAAAGAGGTGGAAAACTATTACCTAAGCTATTTGTTGACATCAAAACCTACACACAACTTTTACTACATGCTTCCATTCGTCTTTGTAAATTTTCTTAGAAATACATTAACATTTTTACAAAGCTTATATTGGGCAACCTTAGAAATATTCGAGGATTCTCTTTTGAGACTTTCTCGGAAGTTTTAAATAAGTACAACTTTCCCTTTAAGATCTTAAAAACTGTCCTACGAATCTTCCAGAAATATTCATTCTTTCTTCTATATAGAAATATATCTTACAAAAAATCAACTTTAGAAACTTCCTTTGGGACTGAATTTGAAGCCAAAATTGTAAATAGAATCCAAGACGCGATTCTTAAAAAGTTTGTTCCGTCGATAGATCATTATGCTTCAGATATCTTATATATTCACCCATAAAATATACACAGAATCAAGTACTACCTATAGGTACAAATCGAGAATGCCGCGATGGTTGATACAAAAAATTTAAGATTTAAATTAAGCCAAAGATCTATTATATTCAGAAAGGTTCCACACACGGCAAGTGGGCAACTATCTGATTACTCTCAAAACTATGTTTGTTCTTTAGAAGTTTAGACTACCTAAACATGCCAGTCGATACAGGAAGTGCAAATATGCATAATTATCCATAAAAGACGCCTACATACCAGTATAGTAGGTATCCAATTTTTTCTATCATTTTATGTACAACTTATAGTACAGTCATTATAACCAGTAACTAGGAAAATAGGTAAATAAAGTAATTGGACCTTGTTTAAATCTCTCAAAGCTCTTTTTTTGTAAATAATTAATTTCCATTGTAATTTCCTACCAATCACCGAATCAAATATTGAAATTACGTTTAAAATGAAATTGATGTGTGCAAATTATTATCTATAATTCGAGCTTCTGTTGACTTTTCAATTACGAAACATAATAAAAGTTACTGGTCTCGAAATTTTCAGCAACACCTACCTTAACAATGTCCTTATTGTGCTTATTGCTCACCGTTTTCATATTTGTAATGGCGAACGCTATGTTTGATTATTCTTTGGTGCGAGAATTTTTAAAAGCGAAGTATTGCACTATGGCTACTTATTTTCATTGTTCAACAAAGCAAGGTAAGTGGGACCAAAGAATACTTAATAAGATACTCTTTGGTGGGACAGAGGTAGCCGGTATATATTCATTGTCGTATTACAGAAAATATTGAAGTAATGAAACTGTTTCTAAGTGATGATACAAGAGTCTCATTCCATGACGTTTCCAATCGAACATTCTCCTCACAGAGCGTTTTAGAAAAGCAACACTATCACATAGGGGTTATTATTGATGGAAATTGTCCAGATATTGAACCATTCCTCATAGAGGTACGTACTCGAACAAAGTTAACTCGCACTGATCATTTTTGCAATAGTGTGGAAACCGAAAATTCTTCTTCGAGACTTATCATTGGTTGGTTTTCGCCTCCGAAGAAAGTCTAGCGAATATTTTTGAAAACGTAAGTTTAAGCATTAACGCAGACATTAGCTTAGTTACACCAAATTACACCACCCAACCATTAACGTGGACAATATTCGACGTGTACAATCCCTCTCAAAGAAGAGGGGGGGATTTAAAAGTAGAAAAGAGCGGATTCTACAATGGGGATGAAGGATATAACGTCGAGTTGGTTTGGAATAAATACTATAAACGTAGAAATATGACTGGGACAATTTTTAAAGCCGCGATGGTGGTATGTTGGAGAGTAGGTAGAGGGCTAGTTTCTAACTCAACGCAGATTCCAGAAAATATAAGCATCACACTGGATGAGTACCTTCAGAGTGACGCGGAAAAGAATAACAACACATTCAGTCGGTTTAATGCTGTTGCGGTACATCTTTGTCAAGATTTCTACAACTTTTCGTAATACTGCAACTATCCTTGTAGAAGTTAGAAATTCCTCTTTTTTCAGAATGGAAAAGAGCATCATTAACTCTTGGGGATATGTGCAACCAGATGGTGATGTAAACGGTCTAGTAAGAAAATTAAAATACGACGAATTAGATTTTGGTATAGCGGCTCTGTTATACAAATTATTTCGTTTGAAGGTGATTGATTATGGATACGGTAACTGGGTAATGAAGTGAGTTTTTTACGTTTTATTGATTGAAGTGGAATATTTTTGGAAACACTTTAGATCAGTATTTCTCTTTCGACATCCGAAAAGCACCTCTAGCTCTTATGAATTATACTTTCGACCACTGAGTGGTTCAGTTTGGATGTCAACACTATTAGCGCTTGTACTCATAGTTTTTGTTCTACGAGTTATTGTATCAAGCGAAGTGAAACTGCTTAAGGGTAGCGAGGCAGCTTCAAATGTTGGAGAGAGCAGTTGGAGTTTCCTAATCATTTATAACATCGGGGAACTTTGCCAGCAAGGTGAGATTACCTAAGCCAGCACAAAATGAACAATAACAAATATCCTTAGGCTTCTCCTACATACCCATTCTTTCAAGTGGTCGAATTGTGATACTCAGTGTATTAATATTCTTTTTTCTCATTTATCAATTTTACTCAGCGAGTATCGTTTCGTTCCTATTGTTACCGCCAAAGAAAACAATAACAACTTTGTCCGATTTGTTGAAAAGTTCACTGGAAGTTGGAATGGAAAATATTTTATACGACATCGACTATATTCAGGTAGATAGTGTTAATAGTTTTAAGCTAGCAGATCTTTTCAGACAACCACCGATCCCGTGGCTATATCCCTATATAATAGGAAAATTAAACAACCTCATAATAAAACAAACTTCCTACCACCTCCAGAAGGATTAGACAAAGTTAAAACCGGCGGTTTCGCCTTTCATACCCAAACTAGCACTAGCTATCCCATCGTCGAACGTGTATTTGAAGAAAGGGCAATCTGCGAATTGGCCGAGGTACAACTTTACAAACCTCTCTACGCTCATATGCCTTTATCAAAAAAATCACCACTACGCGAGATGTTCATGTACTGGTAATAGGAAATCAAATTTGCTAACAAACGGCTGATTATAAATTGCAGCAACGTTTACCAAATGGAAGTTGGCATATTACATCGTTTAAGAGTACACTGGGATGCTCGAAAACCGCAATGTGTTGATTACACCCCATACCTAGAGGTTGAAGTTGGACTAGGCGAAGCTTACTGGGCGTTAGGTTTGTTGGGGTGTGGAATTCTACTGAGCGTACTGTTGTTGATGTTAGAACATGTTTGGAAGCATTGGGGAGCGAGACTTTTTACCAAAGAGAAATTAGCTTCTATTCTCTTCCCAAATAAGCTTCAAAGAGGTAGACGAAAGTAATATAAATATTCCGACGAGATTTATTTATTTATAGTATTGAGCTTCCTAGCTTATGTTCATAAAATATTACTTTTCAATCATTTTTATTAGAGAATGGTTGTATAAGTAATTAGCGCATAGTGGCAGTGTTACGATAGTAGTTTATTTTTAAATGCAACCGCGGCAAATTGGCACCTGCGGTAAGGTATTTCATATTACAGGAACTTAAAATTTAGCATATTGTGTATACAGGTAGGTAATATAGATGCACACAACATTTTGTGTAGACCTTTAAACAGCCAAAAGGTTGCATTAAACTCAGATGTGGAAAAAAACGAATTATTATTTCACTTTCCCTTTTTTTAAGACATACCAAACCAAGTAAAAAAAAATAAATTTGAATTTTCCACTCCCTCATATACTTATCCCTACTTAGCTAGCACATTCATGTCTGTAGTTTGAAAGTTTCATGTAATTAGAATCTAGCTACCCATTCCAGATTCAAATGATCTATTTACCAGATCCATATTTTACATGGTTAGTCTTATTTATCGTTAATCAGTAAAATTAGGTGGTTAAATCTGTTTTAAAAAATCATTGTCATAATACTCATAATAAATCATTGTTTTCAGTTTTTTTAACGACATTTTTTATATTAAATGTAACCTACAACAACAACAAAGATTTTGCCTCTAATAAACAAATCGGCCAAATTCATGGGTTCATTAATTTGTGGCAATTCCTGCTTCGACGGCGCATCAAGAAACAACCAGCTCTCCGGCCTCCCCCAGAATGGAAGAACCAGTTCGGCTTGCCAGCTCGACTTCGCGCCACGCTCCACCAGCCTGAAAAGTCACATCCAGGGCTCACTCCGACAACAGCGCTCTTTGACCCATACCTGATTTTTATTGTACAATTTGAGATGTTTGATTTGCATTTTGTTGTCGTAGTTTATTTCTCATCCTCACAAAACGCTGAGTATTATTCAATTTCCTTCCCCGTATGTCTCACGTCCAACGCATAAAAAGAACTCTAGGAGTTCTATCGTGCCGTCCCATCCAAGTCGGCTGCTATCGAGATTTGAAAGTGGTGCGAAAGTCCGTCGTTTCGACTTGAGAGTTAGGTGCCTCTGCTTAATTCTTTTTTCCCCAGAACTCTGACCAACTGCCAATTGTAATAAGTATAGCTTAAATCATACTCAATTGCAGTGCGCCCTAAGAATATCACAAGGAAGTTAAAACATTACGGTTTCCAAGTATTGTCATTTAAACTGTTAGGTATCTAACGAACAGGTTTCAGTTCGTGCATATTAATATTAGTGTGCCGTCCCCGCTTAGTGTAATGAATTTGATTATGCAAATACAAAAGTTATCGTGCACAACTACACACGGACATACAGACGGGCAGATAACAATACAACTTATAAACGATCTCGAGGATTGTTAATAAACGGCATAAGTGTAAAATTATGGTACTTCACATGAAAAACATAGATTTTTACCATAATTTTTTTCTTAAGCGACAGAGAAAAAATTGCTTCCTTGGCGCAAGCCTTGACACCAAATGAACCAAATAGCGAAAAAAGTAAAGAACTAGTAGCATTAAATTTATAACTTATAAATTCAATGCTATAGCGACCGGACGGACAAAGTGGTCACAATAGCGCAGTTCGTCACTTCTTTGCGGGTGGCTCCCAAACGAAACACGTTGGACCCTCAGTTTATTTGGAAAAAAGTTTGTTTTGATCCCCTCTACCACGCAATTTTTTTACATACTTATATGTAACACCCTGTATACATTTGTTTCTAATAATTTAATACATGCAGGGTGAACATTTTGTTGGAATAACTACATTTTCAAAACAAAACTTTTTCAAAGAATCTATTTATGAATCCAAAATTATAAACAGTTTGCTACCAATCTGTGTACTTTAAATTTGTGGTCAGTGGCAACAACTAGTTTTCGATACCTACTTTTTATTAAAGAGTACACTTTTTGGATATAGCAACATACAGGCTTATAATTATATTTCATAATCGAATTGATTGTATCGAAAATCATTGAAATATATAGTACAGTGGCTTGCGTCGCCAGAAATTAGTATTGCACAGGCGTTTAACCACATTTTTGACACTGGGCATGGGCAAAACCAAAAATATCGGTACACACGGTATCTTTGCACCCTTTCAAATGAGCCCCAAATCCGTTCAGTCATGTAGAAGTAGTACATGTGACGGACGGCTGACAAAGTGCAGCCAATAGTGATTTTTTACTTTCAGGAAAATACGCTAAAAAGTGTTATCTTTAAGGGTCATGAAAACTAGTTAAAAGTTAAAAAGATTTGCCGCCCTTGACCATGCGAAAGTACATCACTGGTCATAAAATTAAAGTACCTACATTAGTGGCGATTTTTTTAAATAATTTTAGATACTTCTTTTACACAAATTTCGTTTTGAAGATATATTCATGATCCAGATAAAATGTGCACCCTGTACAAATATGCACGCTTAAAAAGAAACACCTTGTGATGCCAATATTAATTATGCATGTTCCTTTACAGCCCAAATTTTGCAGAGGTGGTAACCCAGGAAAGAACAAACTATTTATTATGGCCATTATGAAGCCTTGTGTAAAATTTAGGCTTCCCTTCATGCTAAATACACAAAATTTGATTAAAAATTTTTATTTGCCATGCAATTACATAGATTAAATAAGCAGACTAGGACTTTACAAAAAGGAATTTCAACATTACAATTATGGACCCAATGTTTAGATTGTACAATTTTGGAAAACAATGTGTATCTAATTTACAAGCGACACTAAAGACTAAGTTAAAATGCTAAAACTACGATGGTAACAAAATGTTTGCAATCAATATGAATAGCTGCCTATTCAGTAATGATCACTTCGAATTACTTCCTAAATCACACCATTTATCATGTAAAAAATAGAGATTAAAATTGTAGAGTTGCTGATTATAGTTTAGTCCATTTAAAACACTTTTGTGCAAGTTGGCTGAAGAAAACTCTAATGATAAAAATTTTGAGATGAATGATAGAACGGTTTTCTGATATGTCCCAAAACCTTACATCCCGTCAATACCTAAATAAGTTGAATGCAGATTAAATATTGTAAAAGTATACTTATATTATACGAGTCTAAAGAATTCAAAAATGAAATTAGTTTTAAGTTTGGTATGTTATTACTAGTGGACCTAACTTCTACAGCAATTCTGTTACATACAGATACTATCACAATACGCAATACAATATCGGATTATGCAGTATATAAATGCTATATTGCATTGGTCAACTTGTTACTTATAAAAATGGGTTCGCTATAACAATTTGGTACGAAAAATGTACACACTAATTTGAGTGAAACTTTACAAAGAAAGGAAGTCATTTAATTAGTATGTACAAAAATTAAAGCCAACTAAGTATTATGGCTGGTGGTTTTCCGTAAATTCGATTTGTTAAAATTACAGATTGCACCTAAAAGGGCATTTCGATTTTTATCCTCCTTTGGCGTCGAATCGCCATTTGTTAATAAAGGTGCAGGTGGCGGTGGCGGAGGTGGCGGACATGGAGCAGCCGACGATCCTGTAAGTCACAAACACATTGCAGATAACACAAAAGCGTGTGTAATAAAAACAAGCAAAAAGGGAACAAAATGCACGACAAAAGAAATTGTACCATGTATCCTTAGCATCTTCTCAGACCTAAACAGATGATGACACGTAAAAAAAATTGCAAAGAAAACACAAAACATTGTCAAAGGCTACTTAATATAAAGATTTTTACTATTACCAAGTCAAACATTCCATGAAAACTAGACATAGTACAACAGTTAGAAAGTGAGAACTTTTGAATCTCTCATATGGAAAACTGAAAGACAAGTGGGAGGCATGCAAACCCATACTAATTATATATTTTTCAATACTCATTCAAGAATTAATTAGAAGTTTACAATTGCCTAATTACCTAACTACGATGTTAAAACTATATTAGTAGAAACAATAATTTCAATAATCATTAAAACGATAACATTTATTTACAAACCAGCGTTATTTCACGAATAGATGTACACAGGTCTGCAATAATGTATAGTTTTTGGTAACTCACATGTATCCTGGACTGTGGGCAGTAATAAATATTGATTTCTAAACCAAAGTATAAACCTAAGACTACCTCTAATAAGAAAAGCAACTTATACAATGTGTCAAAGATAAGGATGTTTACCATGGGATTCTCAGAGACCATAGAAGATACAACGATGGTCAAATTAGAAAAAAGGTGGTTATTGTTATGCTTTAAAAAAAACCAAAAAATTCTAATTACTCCCAAAAATACGCCAGAAACCCCGAAATTTTTCGATTTTGGTTTTTCTGATGCTATTTGAACAGATACAAAAAAAACACCTTCTCATTGCCACTTTTTGAGCTCTACAAGACTCAGTTGGAAAATTTGCAATACGTTTCGTTTCGGAGAAATCATCAACCTTATTTTTTTATATGACCCAAAAAAAAGTATGGAGTACTATTTTTTATTACTAATACCACAATGTACGGCATACAAAAAAGCAAAAGTTGGAAAGTTGGTTTCAACAAGATGGTGCACCCGTACACAACGCCCACATCGTGCGAAAATACCTATCAGACAAATTTTCCACTTTCTAGGAAATTCATTAGGCACTTAACAACTTTTTTTAAATTAAATAATTACAACAAAGCGACTCAATGCCAGAAATGTTAGTATGCAATTTTGGCCTCTTTATATTACACACCCTTTGACCTCAACAAATTAGTGAGTGAGAATGAACTCACCTGACATTGAAGGAGGTGTGCTAGTACCAATCGATGCGGTGGTACTAGTGCTTGTAGCACTATCTCCCGCCTCCCCATTTGTGACCTCCTTATGTTCACTTTTTTCTTTTAGAAGCTGTTCTTTTGCCAATTTTTGTTCTTGTTTCTACAGCAGAGACAATTATCAAACGCACACAACAATTAAATTTACCTTTTTGTGCCGCTGCTTTTTCTTTTCCTCCTCAGAGCTCATCATCTCCTGCACCCTAACAAGTCGCTTCTGACTGCGTACCAACTTTTGCTCCTCCTTCAATCGATCTTCCAATAATCCTTGAGCTAATTTTAATTGCTCTTTAACGGACGTTGGTATTTTGAGTTGCATTTTATCATTTGGAGATAATTGAAGAGCAACTGGTGCGAAAAACGAATGTTGCAGTAAATTATCGACAGTTGGTAAACCATTTTTACAACTTTCCGATGATAAAATTGACTCTAATACTGATCCTAAACAATTATTTGTACAAGACGTATTGTTTAAAAAGATTCGTTATTCATACGTAATAGTGGTGAGCACTCAGAAGGGAAACTGTCGACTGTACTTTCTTGAAGGGGAGCACCGAAGGTCATCTCATACAATGTATGACCAAAACAATATATGTCGATCGCCTCCATATTGCCGATCCGTTTGTGTTGCATGAAGTATGGCCGATAAAAAGAAGGTACCCCGAGGATTCCATTCTCAATATCTAATAATCTTACCCTATCGTTTTCTATAATTACGTTACCGCTATGCAGATGCCCTATAAAAATAGAAATAAGCACTCGGTTCGAATAATTTCCCGCTCTCACCATAAAACAACCCCTTATCTTTTAAAAATTTTAAAGCTTCTAAAATCTGTTTACCATACAGTGCAATTTGACTACAGTTTAACGGTTTATGTCCTTTAGGATTGCCATACTTTTTCAAGAACGACAGCCTAGGTTTGGCACCGCATATAGCATCTCTTAACGAACCGTTACTGTTACTACTACGTACTACAAGGCCCCCTGTATCTGTGCATAGACATAACTCAATTGGATATATAAACGGATGCTAAAAATGAGAAGCTAGAGTAACACCAACACATATGCATCAGGCTAGCAAGTCATATACTTGTTTTTGAGCGAAGTGCTGAACCAGGTGCTTTTTTGTCAAATTTAGTTTAAATTAATCAATCGAAAGCCCAGAGCTTTAAACTACCAAATGCAAAAAATAGTATCTTTAGTAGTTGCGACCCAACAAACACTGGCCCAATTGTGCAAATTAAAAGAACGTAATTTGTAATGTAATATTAATTCATTAAGGGGTGAACTTTGTTTTCGTCTGAGCATAACAATGAAATTTGGAACAAACGAAAATAAATAGAGGGTTATATCATTATCAACTTTATGGTATCGGTTATATACAGGGTGTTACACGACCGTTCGAAAAAAAAAATCGGGTTGTGAAGGGCATCAAAACAAGCACTTTTTCCAAATAAACGAGGGTCCAACGTGTTTCGTTTTGGGAGCCACCCCAAAGAGTGTTGAAATCTGCATTTCTCTTTAATTTTTTTTCCAGCAACCATAAGAGTTACAAAGTCGGGTGGCATGTCTTTGATAGGTTTTTGGGTATGCTCTTTCCGATTTTGCAATTTTTTTTTCAAAATTCCTACCCCTAAAGGGCGCACCCCTAAACTAGGGGTGCAAAAAAAAATTCTGATTTCGACGAAATTTGGTATCTGGGGTTTTTTAACATGAAAATCACGAATCTGAAATTAGTTTTTTGAAAATTCGAAAAAAAAAGTTCCACTGCAATTCTTGGCGGGACAACGAAAATAGAGATAATTCCACGAAATTTGTGTGTACATACTAAACGAGTTAAGGAACAAAACTGTCGAACAGTTTTTTTAAAATAACTTTTCAAACAAAAGTTATACTTCATTTGAATGTTGGTCCTTCGGGTCGCGAAGTGTCCAAGCCTACTAGTAAGCCATAATTTCGCATGTGTTGGTTTGACAATGTCGCAAAAACAAAAGATTAACGGTTTGAGTCGATATTTTGTTATTTGGAATTAATTCGGTCATTAATGATTTAAAAAATTTCGATGTATCGATTAAACACCTACCAAGGTATCTTAAAGCGCTGATCGATTATTTATTATCTAAATAGGTAGGGAAAAAGTCAATCACTTCCGTATGATACTTTTTCACTATGATCAAAAACTTTTTCCCCTACCTTATTTAGATAATAAATAATCGATCAGCGCTTTGTAGGAATTTGACAGTGGAAGAGGTCTTAGCCTATGCCTCAAAGTTATAACATGTTACATTAAAAACTAAGTACTTTCAAAATCTGCAATAAAATATGGGGTGTTCCATTTAAAAAAACACAATTTAAAATATGATACACCACTGGAATACAGCAAGCCCTCTGTGATATAAGACTTTTTTCGGTATATATTATGATACGAGAGGTCTTAAATGCTACACACTGTATAGAGAAAGTTCAAGAGTACTACAGGCAGACTGGCCCATCATAATTGATAATTTCACAACTTATGCAATAGTCCTTACGCATATAATGTCATATACTTCTTAATTTAGTCATTTTTGACATATTTTAACTTCTATGTCAAAAATGACCTTTTGCATTCAAAATCATAATTACCAATTTTTCTATATTAGAGCTGTTATTATTTAGTTGGGGCTGGTTTCCTTTTATATAAAAAATATGGGTGTTACAAACTCGTTAAAAATTGAATTAAAAAAAATCAGTATACAGACGGTATCATTCCTTCAACTCATAAGACTGCTATTTTAGCCAAAGGTCCCTTTCAAATAGCTAGATTTAACGAAAAATCAATTGAAGCTCATTTTATATTAAATGCAGTCTGTAACCATTATTGATAAGCTGATAATCAGTGACAAAATCCCAATGTGATTTGTGTAGGTATCTATGTAACTTAAAACGAATTAATTGTTGTATTGATATTTGTTCTTTTTTATTTAGATACCTATTTTTTTCGTTTTGTCTACTTTTACAACCGAGCTTCAATGGAAAAACAAAAAATGTTTGAACTGCACCTCAAGATTGCCTTTTCATATTTATTTTTGGTTTATCAATTCTATTTACTTGTCTTTTATATCTTAGCTCCAATGGGATTCAGCAATTTGCAAAAAAAACTTGGTATAAGCTAACAACTCGCTGTCAATCACCTGCATCTGCGTAATGCATTTAAACACCGCTTGTATATCTTTATCTTGCAAGTACTTATCAGGACCGTAATCAGTCCAACTAGCAATTAGCTCATCTTTTGGTAATGTTTTACATCTAACTTGATAAAAATGTTTGCGTAATCTCCATCCTATTTCAGATAAAGGTCCGACAACCTCCCAACCGACCTCACCACGAAGTGCTAGAGATACGTGTTGAAGTGCTAATTCTACAAATAGAAAATAATCTCCGAACAGGTAGATCTTCTAAATTACCGCTAAATGGTTGACAATAGTTGGCAGGGTCGACAAACGATCTCGCTGGTAGAGAAGACACCAAAATTGGATTCATTAGTACGCTGTTTAGATATTTCTGAAAATAGAATGGGTAGGTTAATGCTGGGGAAAAAGGAACATACTTGTAATCCTTGTTGGCGTTCTGAAATGAATTCGGGATCCCGGTTACCGATAAGTTTCTTTGGGGGTAAAGAGAGAGGAATGCCCGATGTCTGCAAGTGCGAGTGAAGTTCGACAAAGTCATTGTAACGCTTGTGTATCCGCCAAGTTTTTCGAGAAAAAGGGCCTCTATGAACACGAATTATGTATTCCTAAAATAAAAGGAAACCTCACGATTGCATTAGACCTTACTAACTTACAGTGTGACCATCCACTGTTATCCAATTTTCAATTACACATGATAAACCTTCAGTATCATCTAGTAATACTTTCTTGGGTCTTTCTTGCTCAAATATAGCCATTGATTTGAAGACAACATGAGTACTGTTAATAAATCCATCAGGTGATCATCACTTTACTTCTAAATGTCAAATTGACATTTTTAAATTGTTACTAAAAAATGCCTTTTAATTTTGTTTATTGCGAAATTACAAAATTATCTTGGCTTCTAACACAACTCGGTTCTCATCGGTAATTGATCGACATAACTTGCGATTTGCGAACTTTCAAAATTGCAATGTTGCCATTTTTATAGCTTATATACACAGTGTGTACAGGCGACCCGCGTTATCCGTTGCGTTGATCCAAGGCCCATAGCACAGTACCGTCCACATCGTATGTTTACTTAGGTACATTTTATTTTGTAGTAATGAATCCATGAAAAACAAACTTATGAACAAGAGAAGATTCAATCAAAAAATAGACCTAAAATTCAAAATGGCGGAACAAGAGAAGATTCAATCAAAAAATAGACCTAAAATTCAAAATGGCGGCATGTTGCGCACCTTAGATCAGTTGCGCACCCCCTAGATGTTTGTGGGGTTTTTGGATATGTCCAAAAGGTAAGTCCAAAGAACATTGTGGTCAAATTTCAAAACTGTTTTTTTTATTTGTCGATTTTGGTAGTAAATTGACTGGGCCAAAAATTAATTATTATAATGTTCATATGTATGTATATATGCTTCATAGTCCATGGTGCCATGGCGGTCATGTTCCCTGTTTTCCAGCGACATCAAGCCATTCTTTCAAATGGACTACCCACTCATTGATACCCTCAGTTTCTTCTTTCCTGCTGGTCCGTTGCTTGTGGCACAAATTGCACATTTTCTACGCCAATTAGTACACATAACGTCTTGATAGTTTTGCCAAAGAGTAGAAGAGTACCACTTAGGTCTTACTATGCCTATACCTACTTTAAATTCAATACCAAAACAGTTCTGTATCTATAAAATTTCAAAAGATATGCACGTTGGTTACAATTTAAAAACGCTCAACAGGTGGAATCGAACCACTTCGACGCTAATCGACTACAGATTTGAAGTCTGCACTCCAGACCACTGAAGATCAGTTGAGCGTTGGCGGATTTCCCAACACTGTATATACCGCAAGCTACCTACTAGACAACATGTGAGAGCTAAGTTTCATTTATTTATTGCATTGATGTGATACGCAGACTTAAAATCTATAATCTTTCCTAAATTTCGTGGCAAATTATAAACGAATGCTATTACATATGCCATTTAGCAATAACTTTAATTTATTCATAATAAATAAATTCATTGAAACTTTATAAGCTTTCAAATTTGCGGTGATGTATGGTGTGTTGCCTATTTTCCATTAAGAATGTACGTATGGTTTTTGACTCATTCAATACACAATTTATTTCATTAGGGAATAACAATAATAATACATTTTCTGGTTAATCGATTTTCTCGAAATTTATCAATATTTCTGATTATTAATAAAACTCATTTTCAAACTTTGCGCTCTTGTAAATGGCGACATCTAGCGTTAAAACCTCACATCCAACATCATTAACCTTAATGTTTTCACAGTAATGATTATATCATAACAGGTAAGTTATTATACATACAAAACAACGAGAAGATTATTCGAAACGTTTCGCAGTGTACAATCGAAAAGAAATGCTGTTCGCAATACCAAAAAGGTGCATATATCTAGGCCTGCCCTTAAGGAATCCCTTAATAAAGTTCCGCTATGGCTCTCGAGAACAACACCAGAGGGTAATCATCGAGGAAACTTCACAATCGTCTTCTACAACACAAAAGGCTGCACCTGCTGTGCAAAAATCTGAGCCAATATTCGATTATCAACTTCCTGCGAGGTATAAACGTGCACCAATAGACAGCGCCGAGATGGATTACATTAATAGGGGTGGGCCCGACTGACTCTGAATCTAGATGTAGACTTTTGTTGTAATTAAATGTATTATTATCTCTTTTTTTTTTCACTTTTTGTTTGCTGCATATTGATACTTGTCTAGCAAGAGAGGCCATCTAATAGATAGGGTTGCCAGACGTTCAGAATTTTTGCAGTTTCAAATTTAAACTAGTAATTCTGCTGTAACCAAGTAGATAGTCGATAACAGTTAACTGTTCTGAATTTATGAACAATTATTTTTTGTTGGTAGTTTTTGTTTCAACTGCAAAGGGTTTTGATTTGCAACAAAAATGTTGATATAATGTGCAGAATTTTATCATAGTATTTTCAATATTTAATTTAATCCCTCTCTTGTTTTTGGCCCTCAACAGGCATGCGCCCAATTACAGAGTGACCCGCATAATGCTAAAAATATATCGCCACTCCTCCAGACTCCCTATACAATTACCCTTATCCTCCCCTCCATCGGACAAACGTGTCTCAATTACTGTGTATTTTAATACTCCCAATCTGACAACCCTACTCAGCCTGATAAGATTCTGTACAAGATTGCCTATGCAGATACTTTCTGGACCCTAAAATGTACCTATGTGCTTGACAGTAACGTCCTCTTGCAGAGGATGCAACATAAGCAAAGAGACGGCTGACCAACGGTATACTAGAGGTACCATCCATCCAAAAGGAAGAAGCCCTGCCCGAAACACGGTAGGAATATACCTATTGACAGGTCTATTAAAGGCCGGGACACTGTCGAATGACTCCTGCAGAAAATGAGCCTTGAAGTACACCATCACTGTATAGAGGTGGAGAGAGGGAGAAGAAACATACAACTACTAACAGTACCTACACAGTACTTATGTAGTTTGAGAAATGAACTGAAAGGCGGACAAAACTCCATAACTTATACCGTTCTTAACACAAAATCGCTTCAAATTAATCCAATGACCATTTTTGTCAAAATCAAACTAACCGAGTTCGAGCATACCGGGCGGTGACTTGAACAACGCACCATAGCAATTTCAATAGTAATTTTTCCATTTCCGATTATTGGCTCCCCTAATTATTTTAGAGATAAAGTGTATCTAGGTTTTTTGTAGAGAAAAAAATTACGAATCCATGCATATTATACCTTTTAATTTTTTGAACTTTGAAACCAAGAAATTGGATAACAAAAAACTGGCGCTGTTAAGAAAATCCGTGGTGCCATGGCAGTTTGAGATCAAACAAAGCCAACTAATGGCAAATGTAGGCGCTTTTGTTTGAATTCATAATTCCATGGCATTACCGACTTTATAAACGCGACAGTTTTTAATTTTTAAATTTTTACTATTTCTGAATTTATAAAATAGGAAACAATAGTATATACGGATTGGTAATTTTTGTCTCTACAAAAAACCTAAATAGACTTTACTTCTAAAATAATTAGGGAAGCCAATAATGGGAAATTAAAAAATTACTATTGAAATTCCTATGGTGCGTTCGTCAAGTCACCACTCCGTATAAACTATTTGCTCCGATAGCAGTTACCTTTAGGCCTATACATATGTCGTTACAATAATTACCTAAGTTGAGAGTGTATATACGTCAATATTCCTTGCGCTAATTGTTACCTCACCCATTATGCGGTAGGTTAAAAATTGGCGAATTTGTATCTTCATAAAATTAATAAAAATAAATGTTGGATGACCTGTTATAACAAACGATCGTGACTTTCGCCGCTTTTAATAAACGATAAAAATATATACTTTCGAATACATTCTCTGCAGAAAAAGTTACTTGCCCTAGATCTAAACCTAATATATAGGTAAGTACCTACATGTATATGAGATAATGAAAAACACACATTGTTCAGTAATTGCAGTAAAAAAGAATGTCTGGTTATGGTTTTTCACCCGCGCACTGCATTTGTGTCCATATTTACCTACACCAAACGAATTAATAATCTTAGACGGTCCAAACGGCCATTCGTACATTCTGGGGACAGATTATGGCCCCAGTGGAAATAATGGACTAAACTGTCGATACTATGATTTCGCCAGAGCAGAGCAATCAATACCCTTAAAGATAGTGAAAGTTACCAAATTACCACCCTTTTTTTGAAACGCGCCTATAGGTAATGTGTAGAGTTAACAACTTGTTCCTTTAACTTATCAAGGTTTTTCCTACACTTTTTCTGCGAATAATTTCGTACGTACTTCCTAGTTCCCAAATGTAACACGCATTGCGTATCCTGCATCCGGTTTTCGAATGTATAAACATTTCTTAGAAGCCTATAGTTTATTTTTATACTCAACGTGATTTTTATTGACGATTACCTACTGAATTGTTAGAAATTGTTTCAATTTTTTATTGTTTCATTTTTATGGTGCGGTGCATTTACCGAAATATTCTTTCGTATACCTAAATAGCCTTAACAGTAACTCCAAAAATGTCCATTAGGTTTGCGTTTGTCCATCCATGCTTTCTCTACCACCATGGGCTATGTCAAAAATTTACGATAATAGGTAAACTTATTTCCTAATTCCTCCCCTTAATTTTGAAAAGTAAGAAAAAAAAACACCGCCCTAGATATGCATGAATTAGGACAAATTGGTGACTTTTTTACTTCTTCATAAATAATGACGTAGGTATAGGTACCACGAGCCGTATGTATACCTACAGTACAATGGGAGTAAAAATTCGCTGTCCGGAATCAGAAAGGATACTGACTGGCCGTGTACTTTTTATTGTGCCTGTACTGTTATTAGCGACTTCCAAAGAGAACCTTCACTTATTACCTTAAAAAAATTCAATATCTTCTCGTGCACGTATATATCACATGTCTTCTGAAAACGTACCTACCTACCCCTGCGCATGAAAGCTTAATTATAGAAGTGTTAGCAAACTTACACTTACACGTAAAAAGATCTATTATTATAAATGGCATTAATTAAACGTTACGAATCGATTTATTAATAATCGTTTAAATTAAATAGGTGCGGAGCGTAAAACCAGTCCTTTCATATAATATACAGAGTGGTACCTGAAAACCTTGATAAAGGGTCACTCATCACCAAACTTAAACTAGGCCATGGATACCTCGATTACTGTGATTGTAGTTTGTACTCGTTTAATATAATGTTAACGCGCTTTTTTGGCGTTTGCCTAAAAGAAATTTTAAGACTTTCTTGAAAAAGCCACCTTTACCCATCGCGAAATTAGGTTAACGGGTTCTGTACCTATGACTAATATGTATTCATTGCGTATTGAAAGAATAACAAATTGTTGGAGATTGTGCAACATGATAAGACAAGATATTTTACCGCGTAAATTGTGCCAA